AAGTATTGATGATTATCCGCCGGTCTAAATCCTCAGGAAAGAATATCTCGAGTTCCTTCGTTCTGCTTCAAAGAGTTAGCGAACAAACTGACTGGGAACATCGAAAGTAGGAGAAACAACTCTTCATAGAGACAATTTACTCTACACATATGCATACTAGATGGCGTTGCTTGATTCACTTCGGTAAAATACAGCGTTACTTCGACGACTAAGGTTCCGCACAAAATGAAAAGCGCTGATGAAGTATTAGTCAAGAGGCGACCTAAACGTCTTGAGAAACTTATATTTGCATCCATAGCCTTTCTTCGCTCCCAGAAGTGAAAGCCCTTGTAAAAGGAGCCAAATAGAAGAACCGAGGATGGAACTAAAAAATGAACCAAGCTGCTTGTTAAAAGAATGCCCCCAACTTCTGGACTAAGACTCTGTTCCGAGTTGTAAGAAAAGCAGCTGATGGCTCCACAAAGTTCGTACGTGTGCCCAAAGACCTTTGACAAACCGCCTGAGATGAAAAACAAAGTAGCAATATTCAGAAACGAGTTAAGTCTGCGTTCTAAAAAGCTCCCGAGAGTTGAGGCAAGTTCGACGGCTGCGAAGAAATATATCGTCTGGAATGAGAATGTTGTGGCAAGAGCCATCCAGACTCGGCGCTTTGAGACAACCTTGGCCACGTGAGCAATGATGTTGCAGATGTTCAGAAACAACAGGAAGGAAATCACGTTTTTTAAGCCTCTGGACGCACTGATGTTCCAAGATTTGAACATTCGAAAGAAAAGAAATGCGTTCACTACCACGCCACAAGCAGGAAACAAAAATATTAACGAAGCCATAACTTTTTCGGTAAATAATTTATGCATACACTCTTGTATTAAGTTATGTACATAATACGCGCGCTTAAACAGTACAGTAGAATAATGGTATTCTCACAAGTCAGGTCAATACAGAATTAGGCCCCGCGTATATTGAGAAAACCATTCCCAAGCCGAGTCAACTTTAACAAGCGTTGTATTTAAGGAGAAAGTTGACCACTTCGTCCAAGTCAAAAGCGTTCGCGCATGTTCTAATTATCTAAAGCATCACTCGCGCGTGCTCTGATTGTCTCACCTCAGCGAGCGAGTTCAAGCAGCTGGGCGAACCAAAGTGTTTTCACCAAAGTGTGAGCCGAGCCAGCTTTTAGTTTCTCACGTAAACAGTTCGCTACGCTTTGTGGTGGTGGCTTGCACAGAGTAGCTCGGGCATGCGGGTGAGCCTTGTAGGCGGGACGTTTCTACATATAAAGAGGGCCTTAGACTGTGATATAAAGCTAGTGACACACAGTTCAACATTTGATTAAAGTACTCTTGTAGATAAGCTCAAAAAAAGGACCTTTACCATGATCCGAGAAGAGTTCTTTGTCCCAGCACGCGATCACCCTATCCATCTCACACGGAGCCACAAGCAGGTGGCCAAAGGAAGGACACATGCGGGCAAGGGGCTTTCCTCACACTCAAATCGGCCTCAACATAAGAAAAGTCACCAAGGATAGAGGAAGTAATATATCAAGCATCAGATGCAGTGTTTCATCACCAGATGAAACACCGAGAAGAGAGTTGAAAATACGACGCGCTGGGGAGTATTTTTGACGAACTTCGAGGTGTGTCATCTGGTGATGAAACACTGCATCTCATGTTTGATATATTACATGAAACACTGTGTCGAATGCTTGATATTACTTCTCAATTAAAATGATTTTAGAAGGAGAAATTGAGGATGCAAAAATGAGCGGTTTTTCATCTTATTTCCAAAAACCCATTAATTTCCTTTGTATTTTCTTCATGAATTATTAATGAGTTTGAGAAGGAACGTTCCCACACGCGCCCAATTTCTTCCATCTCTTCCAAAAGCTTGATAATCAGGCTAATTTGTTTAACCCATTCGCCCCTGAACCGCCCGTGCGGATCCAGATCCTTTCTACCCTTTGTGACGTCATCAGTTTTAACGGTCAAGGACAACTTTCTTCGCTAACTTGTGCAGGGTGAAGAGATCTTTCAAACAATACCAGAATGAGCACAATTCAGTCAAGGACACCGGAGAAAGAAGCAAAAAACCACGTGACATTGACCTGAAAATCTCCATGAAAATCTTGTTCCATTACCCACCTACCTTTCCTTTCACCTAATCCTAAGATCCTAAAAGCTTTCCTAAAAACTCTTCCCACTAAAATGAAGCCTACTAAATGCCCAGCAAGAGAAAAAAAAATGAGGCTAGAAAAGCGAAAAAAGAAGGGAGGAGAGAAAGCGAAAAGTAGAAGTCAAGACTGCTGTGTCACTTTTAAACCCAAAAATTTTGCTTTCTGCGCATGCCCGAACTTCGCAAGCTGATATTTTGCATCTGGATCAGAAGGCCGTCAAGTGTACGACCTGTAAACCGGTTTGTGGTAAGTTTTAGCTCTTTATAGCACGACAGTGACTAGAAAACCACTCGACTAGCTTCAAAACGCGTTTTTCGGCAAAATCTCCAGGAGCGAATGGGTTAAGAGGGGAAGCAGGGTGGCATTACGCACGATTGAAAGGTCCGCGACAAGGCCCTCGTTGGGATCACTGTGTTGTGATCCTAGGAAGACACTTTTGACGATGCCTCACTCTACGCAGGTGTAAACAAGAGCAGCGAAGAATTTAATGCCGGGGGTTAACCCCATGCTAAGGAGACCGGGATATTCTGGGTTAAGCTCCGGCCTGATAGGCTAGTTAAGGCGAACGCAGCCTTTTCCCTACAGGAGATGTGTCCTGAAATTTACACAGTGGCAACTGCCACCAAATTTAGTGAAACATTAAAATAACCCCTCAAAAAAGTTGAAATATGGTTTAAATGTCACAGCGAATACAAAAGCGAGCACGGACAGATAAACTTGAAGAAGATTGAAACGGATTGTAATTGTCATTTTTAAAAACTTGTTAACCTTAGAGCTTTGTAAGTTCATTTTTGTTGTTAACGGTTGATATAACGCTTCTTTGACACAAAGCTGTGATTTTGTAACTCACACTATAATTTCACAGATAACTGAAGGGCCTGTTGACGTGGAGGTGGAGCACCCCAGATAGGTGAGGTAACCCAAGGCGGTTCACCCCACCTACCTGGGGTCCCCCACCTCCATGTAAACAGGCCCTAAGTTTCGTAGCGAATAAGGACTGGCTTTATAAACAAAATGAACAAGTCAGCAATGACACATTCCCTTTAACCAGCTTGATGTTTATTAGGAAAACCCTTTTCCATTCCAACACCTCAGACATGGTTCGTACAACTTCAGACAAACAAGGACTTTTCAAAGATTTTTCAAGGACAAATCACAGTTTTCAAGGACTAAGACTTGTTCAATAAATCAGCATTCTTTAACCCCCTTTTGAACACCTCATGCATGGCTAAAACACGTCATGGATTCATTTTCGATTTTTACTTCTTCGGCCATGGTTGATCACGTTATTTTATACTTTTCGCAACAACACTTTGCAAAATGACTTGCAATTGCATCTGAGGTACAGAAATAGCATTCGCAATGAAGAAACAAAAATAAGATATTGTTCAGGAACAAAAATTGTTTTAGGTTACCCGTGAGTTTACAGTGTCTTACACCGAAGATGAGCCAAATTTTCCTCTACAAAAAACCTAATAAAGAAATCAAGGACTTATCAGGGACTTTTCAAGACGACGGCTAAAATTCAAGACCTTTTCAAGATTGTACGAACCATGCTCAGAGATCCGACCCTCCAGTCAAGGAAAGCTAGACGCATACGAGATAAATGAAATTCGCCAGTTGGCGATACCATCTATAAACGACCCCAGCTCTCTATATTATGTTTAGGAGCTTGGTAGCAGACACAAAAAAAAACTCGAAGCCTGTTGAAATGGTAAAACCAATGCTTTAGAAAACCAATACTTATAGCTAACTGAAAATTTATGAAAAAGTTTTCGTAGCTGATAGTCGAGGTTACAGTTTACAACAAGTTGGGTGGCGCTTTCGTGAACACATCGGCACCTTTCGGAAGTCTTCGGATAAACGAGCGGCACTAGTACGGTATGACGATTCGTGACCAAAACTAACAACAACTAAAGAAGACGACGTGGTCTTTGTGCTGTAGCAGTTTGTTGCAGTTTCATCAGTCACTTTCACAGCTGGAACATTACTTTGATTTATTCAGCGAATCTGGAGGATTCCCGCCTCGTATAACTTCGTGATTTTGCGCTGAATTTCGGGATTTTTGAGATGGCTGTGGAAAAATAAGAAGTCAACTTTTACTGTATTTGGCAAGAAGTCCAAACTCTCACAAAGCCTGAAAACTGTACAACACACAATAAAAAGACAAGGGATGTTAAGAAAACTGTTTGATAGGAAGGTGTGCCCTCGGGCTTTCTCGTGTTCACGCAAATGCCTTAACGCATTCTCGCGATAGCGCGTGTCGCTTACACGTTTTCGTTGTTACAAAATAGAAACAGAGACTTGTTAGACCCTTACTCAGTCGCTATTTATGAGTGTAGTGTAGCCTGGCCAGCAAGCGCTTCCGAGAGAGTTCGTCGAGAAAGCTGGGACTAGAGCAAAAAAGAGGAATCCTTTTCTTTTGCTCTCGCTCCAACTTGCGCGCAATAACTCGATTGCAAACGCTTGCTACGCTTGCTACGCGAGCCAAGTCTGGTAAGAAGAGAGAAGATTAGATATCTGTAAGAAGAAAGAAGACTGGATGAAAATAAGGCGGGGCGGAACTCATGGGGAAAGCGTGGAGAAAATAGCGACTGGCAGTTTTTGCCCCTCCCCCCCCGGGGACCGCCCGTTAGGGGGGTAGGGTGTGAGGGACGAATGACATTTAAAACTAGTTTCGTAGTTCCGGGCGATTTGCTGTAGAGCCGTGCAAGTTACTTCTTCCCTTCCTATAACACCCCACGTGCCTCAATCTAACCCCAATCTTCTCTAACCCAAAAACACATAAAAGCGACTACGCACGAGTCTGGACCTAAAAGTCTTTGTACAATAC